TTCTCTTCTCTTCTCTTCTCTTCTCTTCTCTTCTCTTCTCTTCTCTTTTCTTCTCTTCTCTTCTCTTCTCTTCTCTTCTCTTCTCTTCTCTTCTCTTCTCTTCTTCTCTTTTCTTCTCTTCTCTTTTCTCTTTTTTTTCTTCTCTTCTCTTTTCTCTTCTCTTTTCTCTTCTCTTTTCTCTTCTCTTTTCTCTTCTCTTTTCTCTTCTCTTTTCTCTTCTCTCTTCTCTTCTCTTCTCTCTTCTCTTCTCTTCTCTTCTCTTTTCTCTTCTCTTTTCTCTTCTCTTTTCTCTTCTCTCTTCTCTTCTCTTCTCTTCTCTTCTCTCTTCTCTTCTCTTCTCTCTTCTCTTCTCTTCTCTTCTCTTCTCTTTTCTCTTCTCTCTTCTCTTCCCTTCTCTTCTCTTCCCTTCTCTTCTCTTCTCTTCTCTTCCCTTCTCTTCTCTTCCCTTCTCTTCTCTTCTCTTCTCTTCCCTTCTCTTCTCTTCTCTTCCCTTCTCTTCTCTTCCCTTCTCACAAGTGGTCATTTTTGATAACGTGTTAAGAAGTGAGCGAAACCACACGAGTCAGATGTGCTGAGAGTGTGGAGTGAACATGTGTTTTTGCTCTGAGCTTTTGGGCTGGGAGAGGCGGGTAGTGTAGTTGTCCGAATGAAATTCGATCTGTCAAACCCCCCGAAAGGTTTTGCTAGGTGCAGTGTGTCGCAACTAGTTGCCGCAGATAAGATGGTTTTCCAAGTGATGATCGAGAAAGGCGTAAAGCCAAAGAGGTCAACTGGTGGGGATTGTGCCATGGACACCGAACTCCTAGAGGCCTTACACTCATATCAAGTTTCCTTCGGACTCATGCCATTGCCTGCCAAAGCTGAGAAGGAAAAAGAGAAGGAGAAGAAAAAAACAGAAGTGCCCAAGAACGCCTTCGACAAGAACGCAAAAGGCAAAGGTAAAGGAAAAGGAAAGGCTGGAGTCCGGCAGAGGTTCTTCAAGATTCCGCAAGCGATTTACCAGAAAGGCGGAGTTGCCGAGACGCCAGCAGGTGAAGCGATCTGCTTCTCATACAATTTGAGTCATTGTGCCAACGGACCCGATGGCGGTTCGTGCGCCAAGGGAAAGCATGTTTGCTGCAAGTGTTTTGGCGCGCATGGCATAAAAGATCATGGCTCCTGACTAGGGGCAAAGCGTGTTCATGGCGACGTCCTGCATGATTCCGAATTCATTAGACCCAGCAAAGCAGCTCGTACACAGTCAAATTCTCCATTCGTCCAACAGCGCACAAGTTTTGTTAATACCAGTGAACCGTGTTCTCACCCTCCAGGGTCTCCGACCAATGCCGATGTACAAAATACCGTCCTTGAGCAATCCCGTGCGCCGCATGATGCCAACAGCTTGCGTGACACTTCAGCTCCGTTCGTTGTGGAACTGTTTTGTGGTTCTGCCAGAGTCACGGCTTGTCTCAAAGCTTTCGGGGTGTGTCAAGCTTTCGGTGTAGACCATGTAAATAGAGCCACCACAGCGCCGGTTCGAATCCTAGATCTCTCCAAGCAGAAGGATCAGCGAACTCTCATGCGTTGGTTGCAAAGTCCATTGTGCGCAGGCATTTTCGCAGCCCCTCCGTGCAGAACTTGCAGTAAAGCCCGCAACATCCCTCTTGCGCAAGGGGTTCGAAAGGGTAACTTTTGCAAACTCCCTCGACCACTTAGGTCAGATCAGTTCCCTGAAGGTCTTCCGGGCCTTACCACGCTTGAACGCATTAAGGTCAGTCAAGCAAACAAGCTGTTCGACTTTTTGGCCACTGTGATCTTAAACTGTCTTGAGCGTGAGCAAATTGTTGCCGTCGAAAACCCCAGAGGCAGTTTCTTCTGGAAGACACGTTTTTGGAAAACAGTTTCACAGCATTTCCGCTATCAAGCACATCAAGCATGTGGTTATGGAAGTTCTCGCCCCAAATGGACCGTCATAGCTTACAACCACTCCGCTTTTGCTAAGATTTCACGAACTTGTCCAGGAGAATCTAGGGCCCACGTGCACGAGCCCTGGGGCCTTGTACAACATGGCCCGGCACAGGGCAACTTTGCGACCGCTTTAGAGACAGCCTATCCGCCTGCTCTGGCTCTTCACATTGCCATTGCCTTCGTTGAAGCCATGAAGCATCGAGGATGGTCTCCTGGTTACACACCATACGAACCTCATCAGTTAATTGAAAACTCAGTGTTGCTTCGTTCAATCACTGGGCATCAACCTCGGGCTTCAAAAGCACCTGCCTTGGTTCCAGAATTTGCTTCGTGTCTCATGGTGCGTTCGCGCCATCCAATCCCAGCACCATGTCCAATCATGACGAAGCTCACCAAACCCTGGGCCGTGCCGCCTTTCGCGCAGTGTGCTCTGCCCGAAGTTCCCATTCATTCCAAACTTCTCCGCGCCACACCAATTCGGTTAATCGGGGGGGATGGGGATGACTATGAGAAAGATAAGATGCTCTATGTTTTTGAGCTAGCCTGGGGCGTGCCGCATGAACCAGAGAAATTTGTGCAAGAAGCGGTAACAGCAGGTCACCCATCTCAATATGAATCCTTTTTGCCGAAGATTCTCCATCAAGCCCTTGAAGCGCACAAAGCCCTGAGCGACGCTGAGCTAGTTAAGTTAAGATTGAAGTGGGTTAAGAAATGGACTGAAAGATCCCAGACTCTAGAGCTCAGAGCCTCGGAAAGAGACCTTAAAGCTAGCCTCCCGCAACATGCAAAGACCATCCTAAAGGATAAGAAGATTGCCTTGTGGAAGGAAATGCTCGAAGATCTTCAGTACGAAGATATGGGAGTAGTGGATGAGTTGGTAGAGGGCACAAAACTCCTAGGTGAAGTTCCGCTAACCAATGTTTTTCCGCAGCACTTCAAGCCCGCAGAGTTTTCAGTAGAAGACGCAAAACAGGAGTCTCAGACCCTAAGAGAAGTTGTTCTTAAAAAGACTAGATCCTCAGGAGATAGAGACTTGGATGCAGAGGTCTTTGAGAAAACCATAGAGGAAGTGAGTAAAGGTTGGCTGGCGGGGCCCATGGAGCTTAGCTCCCTTCCAGAGCCCTCTCTGATAGGTCGACGATTCGGCTTGAAGCAAGGTCCAAAAACCCGCTTGATCGATGACTTGACTGTAGGAGGCCAGAATGGAACGGTCCAGAGCAATGAATCGCCCAAGCCCCAAGGACCAGATGTCATTGCTGCAATATTAATAGGCCTCATGAAAGTGCTACCGGGTGAATCCGTGGAAGGCCGTGCTTACGACCTCAAGTCGGCGTATAAACAGCTGGCAATTTGTGAAAGTGATCTATGGGCAGCCTTTGTTTCCTGCTTTAACCCCAAGACCAAGTCACCTTCCATCTTTCAATTAAAGGCGGTCCCGTTTGGAGCAACGAGAGCTGTCTATTCGTTCTTAAGGGTGGTAAGGTCAATATGGTATATCGGTGTAGTGGGGCTGAAGCTACCTTGGTCCTGCTTCTTCGACGACTTTGTGGTCTTCTCTAAGCAAGGCATGGTTAAATCCACTGACGCTGCAGTCACCGCCTTGTTCCGTTTGATTGGCTGGAAATTTGCCGAAGAAGGCGAAAAGTGTCAGCAGTTCTCATCCGAGGTGTCAGCGCTAGGCATAAAAGTTTGTTTAAAAGACTTTAGCAGAGGCAAGGTATACTTCGACAACACAGAAAAGCGCAAGCAAGACTTGTCAGACTTAATCCAAGAGACCTTGAAGTCCAAAAATGTGACGCAGAAAGAAGGTCAGGTGTTGAGGGGCAAGCTACAATTTGCAGACTCTCAGGTGTATGGTCGGTTGAGTAAGTTGTGCCTAGCTGAAGTTTCAAAACTTTGCGCCAGTGGTGGCAAAGCCCTGGACGGGCAAGCAGAAATGGCCCTCAAAAGGTTTTTGGGTTTCCTGAGCTCCGGAAAGCCTAGAGTCTTGTCGTGTCATACAGATAGACCATTCTTCTTGTTTACTGATGCATGCTTTGAACCCACTAGCCCATTCTGGGCATGCGGATTGGGGGGCGTCTTGGTGAATGACCAAGGCATTCTGTTAGAGTTCTTTTCATGCTCTTTATCGGACGAGGAGATGAAAAAACTTGGAAGTGAATCCAAGAAGAGCATCATATTCGAAGCTGAGCTTCTTGCCTTGATCGTTGCAATGTACCGCTGGTCGAGCGTGTTGAAATCAGCTTCGTGCGTGTGCTATATTGATAACAATGCGGTGAGGGACGTAGCAATAAGCGGACGAGCAAGGAATGCAGCAGGTATACATCTTCTCGAGAGACTTTTGCAAGTCGAAATGAGATTGGGTGTGAATGCTTGGTTCTGTAGAGTAGCCAGTGAGTCCAACATAGCAGACTATCCGTCCAGAAATGATCTAAGACTCTTCAATGCGGTTCGACAAGTTGAGGTAAAACCGCTGATAAGGCAGATCTTAAAAGGTTTCGGATAAGAGGGGTGAAGTGCAGATTCGAAGACCGATTCCCCATGTGCGCTGCGAGAAAAGGAAAGAGAGCCATGTGCGCGACTGTGATGTGCCAGTTGAATGTGTCATGTTGTAACATGTGAACGTTTTTCACGAAACTACTTAAACAAGTGGTCATTTTTGATAACGTGTTAAGAAGTGAGCGAAACCACACGAGTCAGATGTGCTGAGAGTGTGGAGTGAACATGTGTTTTTGCTCTGAGCTTTTGGGCTGGGAGAGGCGGGTAGTGTAGTTGTCCGAATGAAATTCGATCTGTCCCCCCCTTCCACTCCCTTACACTACTCCCCTCTCTGGTCAATGGTCACAAGTGGTGGCTTCTGTTTGCAGCAGTGTCTTTCCGCAGTACATGTCGTACTGATGTACTTGGCTCACAGCCAGCCGTAATGTTTACTGTTTTCATCTTGCATTCTTCACGTGTCTGCAGTTTTCTGCCTGTGCTATACAGCAGTCATTGCTGCAATACAGAGCCACGATTGCCATGAAAGTCCATTTGATGCCTATCAGGGTGGTTGCTGTCCCCCTCGGTTGCAAACTTGGCGACCAGCCTATAGTCAATGAGGCCATCGTTCCAAACAAACAGTTTTGGCACGCTTTCCTTTGTCTCCTTTGCAATCGCTTGCCGCAGTATTTTGCTGGCGTAGCCACTACTGTGAGCCTTTAATTTGTGATGGCGTGGTCTACTGGACCCTTTTCCATCTAAAACGACTGTCTTTTGTGGCCGTTTGTGCTGATGCATCCGTGGTGACCCGCGACTCTTTGTTCTATGGCAATGACAGCAGTAGGGTGCAGGATCAACTCATGAATGTGCAGCAGGTTCACGAGGTGCCGAGCCCTAAGCCTGTGAAGTGCAGATTCGAAGACCGATTCCCCATGTGCGCTGCGAGAAAAGGAAAGAGAGCCATGTGCGCGACTGTGATGTGCCAGTTGAATGTGTCATGTTGTAACATGTGAACGTTTTTCACGAAACTACTTAATTCTCTTCTCTTTTCTCTTCTCTCTTCTCTCTTCTCTCTTCTCTCTTCTCTCTCCTCTCTCCTCTCTCCTCTCTCCTCTCTCCTCTCTCCTCTCCTCTTCTCTTCTCGTCTCCTCTCTTCTCTTCTCCTCTCGTCTCTTCTCTTCTCTTCTCTTCTTTTCTCTTCCTCTTCTTTTCTCTTCCTCTTCCTGTAGTGGATTCGGCGCTGCAGGTGTTGGGCACGTACTGTGGAAGGGACATGTTTGAATTCGGCGTGGACTCGTTTGAATTTGTAGTGGATTCCGCGCTGGAGGTGTTTGGCAGATATTGTGGAAGGAAAATGATGGAATTCGGCGTGGATTCGTTTGAATTTGTAGTGGAAACGGCGCTGGAGGTGTTGGGCAGGTATTGTGGAAGGAAAATGATTGAATTCGGCGTGGATTCGTTTGAATTTGTAGTGGAAACGGCGCCGCTTATATTATATCGGCATGAATTCGGCGTGTTTTCGATTGAATTTGTAGTGGAAACGGCTCTCTCTCTCTCTCTCTCTCTCTCTCATCTCTCTCTCATCTCTCTCTCATCTCTCTCATCTCTCCCTCATCTCTTTCTCATCTCTCTCTCATCTCTCTCTCCTCTCTCTCTCTCTCTCTTCTTTGTCTCTCGTCTTTCCGTCTTTCCGTCTTTCTTCTCTCTTCTCTCTCTTCTCTCGCAGGAGTATCCGGGCAAAGAGCCACATATAAAGGACTCTTCACCTGGAATCGTTTGCCCCGCCCAACTTGTGCAAGGCGTCCTGCCTTCTGCTGCTCCGTGCAGACCCGCTGCTACCAAAGCCTATTTGGCTTCGAGATGTATTTGTAAATCGTTCACCTGGTATTTAAAGCCACATTACACGGGAACAGGGAAATGGTGCTGCTCCTCGCTGCCCTCCACTTTCCCATTCTGGAGCGCTAGCTTTCGCCCCCCCCCTTGGCCTCAAGTTTTCCCTACCAAGGTATCAGCAAATTCTGAGTGGACGAAGGATTGTCAAATGACTTCTTCGGCAAACTTGGCAGTTCCTGGGTTTGGTCCTGGTGTTAGGCATTTGAAGCCGGTCTGAATGGAATTGGCTTCGGTACAGGCTCGTGACACCAATTGAGAAAGGGTGCGCTGCCAATGTGTCAGTGACTGGCATTCCTGCGAAGTCAGTTTGTATCTGGTTATTTGGTGTCGGGGAGCGAATGCTTTGTGCTCCTGTTTTGTTTGCATGCAACATCTGGCCGTGTGACACGGGAACCTGGCTTAGTGGTTGTATCATGATCCATACTCACAATCACCACCGCCAGTCCTGGGGCACGGCGCCCTCGCTGAAGAAGCGTTTCGAGAGGCGCGTGTTTTTGTGCGACTTTTCGGGTTGGATGCCTTGGGGATGTTGGGTCTGTCCAATGTGTGAAGCGGCAACCGTGAAGAAAACACTTCCAGTGCAAGTGTTTTTTCCATCACAGTGGTTGCCTCAGGACAGCAGACGTTGAGCCAGGATGCTTCTCGTTGCACACACCATCGTAGCCCGGAGTCTTGAGGTTCGGTGTCTCATCGAGGCTGACCTAGCTGTTCGGTTCGTCTGGACTTGTATAGTCTTCCTCAACTCATTTGCAGGTCTTTGGGATCCCTTTTCTTCAGGCCTCGCCCGCCCCTGCAGGTTGAGCATGCAGGAGCGAAGCCTCTTCGAGAACATGTCACTAGCACGCACTCTTTCAGAGCACAGCCCCAAACCGCAAGACGAGGGGACTGGGACTTGCACCAAGGTGTAGAAGGCCACTGATGCATGGACACGGTAGACGGACCCCCTCCAAGAGGCACACACTGCTCAAAACTCCTAAGCTTTCTAGAAGGCAAAGGTGGCCCCCAGCGGAGCCCTGACGAACTTGGTCCCATGGCGCCTTTCCTACCTCGAGTGGTGTGGTTCAACTCGCAGCACGTCCTGGTGTCTCAGGAAGCACGTCCTGGTGTCCTACTCCGTCGAGTTTGAGGAAGGATCCGCCGGGGGTTCTCAGGTCGTCGAAGCCCGTTGTTGCCGTCCCTCCATGTCGCCCCACCCGCTTGGCATCGTTCTTTTAGATGTCCAACGTCTCCTTGGGGGGCCGATCTGGGCCGATCTGGAGAAAAGCCTGAGCCCAAGGCATCCCAAGGCCCCAGAGATCCCCAGAGGCTCCTTGGGGCCCCAAAAGGAGAGAGTCCAAAGGCGAGTCATCTCCTCCGGATGCCGAGGATCCCCGCGAGGCGGCCGCCGGCTTGGCCGCCGCGGCCTCCACCGGAGTCTGGGACGCTCGGTACTGGACCGGGGTGGGGAGGGCGGGTGTGGTGGATGCTGGTGCAGCAATGGGTGCTGAAGTGGACTTCTTCCGGATGTTTGGATTCGTTTGGAGAGCGCTCAGGGGTGGGGAGCTACTAGGGCTACCCCAAATTGGTTGTTTGACTACGGGTGCAGAAAATGATGGGTGGCTCAGGCAGGTTGTTGCTTTCTTGTGCGACGACTACGATCTCCTTTGTTCCGTGTTTGACGTTTGACAAAAAATATCAGGGTTTATCCGGGTCTTTATAGGGCCTGAATGACGCTGGTTCCCCACCGTTTCGGAAAGTGGCAGGCATGATCGACAGTCATTGTAAGCATCGAAGTGTTCGTCTCTATGTGTGTGTGTGTGTGTGTGACTGTGTGAGGTGTGGTGTTGAAAAGGTATCTGATGCCATCTCAAGTTTCTGCCAGGTGGGTGCCGACCCGCGGACCAAATGGCCTCCCCTTGCAGAGTCCTTGGGTGTTTGGAGCGCCCAGTTTCGGGGTCGACCAGTGGAAGGAAGCTGACAAAAGCATGCGACCGCCGGGATGAGCGAGTGATGAACAGGTCACACACCCCGAGTCACTTACATGGAAGTGGATGGCACCGCCTAGTTGTAAGGGAAAGTGCCCCTCTGAGAGTCTGTGCTTGCTTGGTCAGTGTCGTGAAGGGCATTCCCTACACCTATGACACTCCCTCCCACACTTGTGCTTGGCATGCTGAATCAGATTCTGCTGTAGACGAGACCGCCTGCCAAGCAACGGCCCCCAAAAACACAACCTTTGCCCCCCCTGCTCGGTTCAGCTGCAAGTCTCGAGGCTGTGGTGTATCAGTTTGACCCCGAGGAACAGGCACCACGGGATAATCGATGGTGATCAGAAAAAGCTACCAGTCCTTTTTCGGGGTCCTACTGAGCAAGTGTAGAAAGTCACAATTAAGAAAATTGAGGCGTAAAGATGGGCACATGTTCAACTAGCCGACTGGCCTCGCTTGTGGACATGTGTGGACCAGTTCTTGATGATCCCGGCGGTTGGCAATTCGCTTTGTTCGTGAACCGTGTATGGCATACATTTCTTGGTCACCAAACCAGTCGATCCTCACCCTTGGACGCCCCTGGACGCGTCCTGAGGGCTCCACGCCGAAAACGCCTACTCGCCTGACGCGACCGCCAGGAGCTCCGGGTGGCCTTCAGCGTGGCGCTCTTCGACCGGAGCTTCCTCGACGGATCGGTCCGGCGGTCGGTGTCTTCGGGTGGCGGGCGGCCGGTCGGCATCGGGAGGAGAACGACGTGGGTGTTGGGGCGACCTTGGTCACCTCGGTAAGTGGATCGACTGAATTGGACTTGACGCCTGTAACTGGATGCCTTTGTCCTGCTTGGCACAGGTCACAGCATGCTTCAAGCCTCTTTGAGGTCCCATCCCATCATTCTAAGCTGGAGTTCATGGGCATGTGCAGAGCAAATTTTGCCTTGGGCGCTGCCGCGTTGTTGTGGGCTCTAGCTAGCTGACTCCAATGTGTCAAACCAGCCCAAAGCCTTGCGTTGCTACAAGGAGCTTCAGATGTGGCAGCAGCCCATGAACATTCACTTTTTACGTGTATATATAACTCCCGACCTTTGATAAGGACATGAGAGAGAGAGAGAGAGAGTCCGGTGTGACACTGCGCAATAGAGGCATCTCCGCAAGCGAGTCAACCAATCACTGAGCTGAGCTACTGGTGCAGACGTGAAGCAGCTAAACCTGTTTAGCATCAAAAGCTGGGAAGATGTGTTCGCATGCCACAGACAATGTAAAAAAGAAAGCAACACCATTTGCAACGAAACCGGAGCGCCTGGACCATCGGCACCGCCGTAGGAAAGTTTTCCCTGCGACCAAACTCCACCGAAAACCACCCTCAAGATCTACCGACATCTGCGGTCTCTCCTTGTCCTCGATGTGAGCAGACGGTGCGGATCAGCACCAAGGGCGCAGTTTCCCGGTAGCGTGGCCGAAAGCAGCGACGGGGGACCTACGGGAGAGTCAATCGCCTGGCTGAAAAGCATGTGCAGGCACCTGCAGTCTCCAGATTGAGATCTACAACTAGACTTCTAATTCGGAGAGTACATTGCTGCATGCTGATTTATTTGGTTTGACATTTCTACTCTTCTCTATATACTCATTTGTGAATTTTTGGCTGATTCCGGACAAGACAACTGAGTTGGCCGTGTCCCCATGACTTTCCGGATTTGCTTTGAGATTGCAAGAGCTTCAATCAACTTGGGGGACAGCAATACTCTCCCAACTACCCTTTCAACGCAGCCTTCATCCACCCTAAAGAAGCCGCACCAATGACCCACCACTCAACGGTGTTTGCCCGTTTCGCTCAACGGGTCGTGTGTTGAGGATGAGCGGCGGGTCTTTGCTCCGGTTGTTCCGGCATCTGAGCGGCATCTGTTGGGTTTCATGGGTGACACCATCTTAACTACTTGGTGGTGCTTGTTTGTTGGCTTTGCTCTCGCATGCGGGAACTCTCGGCTTCATCTCAAGTCAACGCACATGGAGTTCGTGTAGTGGTCCTGGTAGCCGCCGTTCCAGGTCCGAGTACTTCGATGCCCATCTCCATATGCACTACCTACTGCGCATGGAGCAGAGTGGCGTCCAGGACTACTTGGCGCCGTGTCTCCAGGGGTTGCAGCGCAGCTGGGTGGGTGGGTCGGTGGCTCTGGATGGCAAGAGGGTTTGAGTGGTTCAGTTCCATGAGCTGTCCGTCGAGAGGCCGAAACTGTGGAGGTCAACGGAATGGTGCCCTGTGCCAGCACTCACCGTTGCAAGATGCCTTGATCAATACATTTCAATACATGTTCCGTCTTTTCAGGGTGGCTGGTGTCCCCCTGAAACAGAAAGAGCATGTTTGAGCCTTTGTTCAGGTGTGACACGGGTCCTGGGGTTCAGCTGGGTGATTTGTATATATAATCATATATAATCGCCCAAATGCCAGGGGACTTTTGGCTTTCGCGCGTTGCCACTGTGAAAGCTAAACTGCTGCCGAGTCTTGGTTTGTGGGCCGGACCAGGTCAATGAGCTGTACAAGATGACAGATGATGACGTGGAAGCTTGATCAGACGATGACTGGTGATGACTGGTGGTGATTGGCCGCGCAGCCATCTTGGGTCCACAAGAAACCACGACAGGTGGGCAAACGCCATGAAATGAACATTATAGTGATAAAACAGGATAATGCACTCGAGAGAAAAAGCTCGCTCAGCTGCCAGGAGTGCGAGCCCAAACTGTACAATGTAACGCTAAAACACCGGGTGTACAACGACTCTTTGACGACTTAGACGAATGCTGGATCTGCCAGAATCAGGGTGTTTGTAACTTCTGCCGCCACTTGAGGACTACTACCTGCCGCAGTTGAGCCAGGTGGCCTTGCTTAGGTACAACAAGTCCTCGCTGCACCGCTTTTTGCTGGACAAGGCCGGTGGAGCCCATTCTTTGGTGAGAATTCGCTCGTTGTGTGGGTTGGCCAATCCGAAATCTTGCACATGCAATGATGTTAGAGAGAGTCATGAGTGCAGAGTTTGCTCGGTGCCGATCAGCTTTCATCAAGAGGGCTTTTCCTCTTCATCACTCCATCTGTGTGCACAGCACGGTTGATGGTCCCTCCCAAAAAGTACGCCCACACCAGCATTTCGCACTAGGGCGCGTAAACCAAACCATGTGAGGGCGTGAACCAAGTTCGTGCGCCTCTCAGGCGCCCCGTGGGTGCGTCTTCCTGTGGGGAATCGCTCTCCCCTACCCTGCCGATGATCCACCTCTTTCTTGCCACGATGGAATAGCAACTGCAAGATCGGCCCTGCCGACTTCACCTGCAGCCTGCAGCGTGATGCATGTGGGGTGCAATATTTGTCCACATGACCGGCTCCGTCGTTTGCACACGACCGGTTCTCCTTGGCATGTTCCACACTGGGCTCCTTCGGTACAACGGCTGCTTAAACACCGTTCGACCGCGCGAGGTGGATGTCCAGCCCAACGAGGGTCGTTATGTTGGACCAGTTCGCCGGGACCGGGTTCCAGCTTGTACCCATGGCTTTGTTTGCCGGTGCTCGTAGTTGATCCTTGTTTCTCACACTGTATAGTCACCATACATACCATACTGTACTTTTATCGAGCTGGATCACACACCCGCACACACACATCCCGACGAATTCCGACGAAGCCGACGAAGCAGCCGAAGTCGTGCATGATGTAGCACTCGATGATGAGAGGATTTGAGCAACATCACAGCAACATCGCCCAAACCCGTGGTTGAGCAGACCAAAGCTCAAAAGAGTGACTTGCCCTTTTTGACACAGCTCCTCGCCTTCTATCATCACGGTGGCCGCCCCATTCAACCTTTGCAGGGTGAAGTCCAGCTGCTCATCCAAGTTGGCCAGTCAAACAGAAGTACCACTATGTCAGAATACTTCAAGAGAATCGTGACCCCTGCTGCCAATTCTCAAATTACTTCAATCTAATGACCTGGATCAACTGAACTGGCCAAGCGGCATGACCTTCTTCAAGGACGAGGCCTATAACCTGGTCGACGGTATGGAAGGATCGGCTCCTTGTGGTGAATGGACTTGGCCTGCCAAGCAGTAGCCAATAAACACTACATATTTATAATAGCAACACGATCACACAGCGCTGCACCTTGACGCACTCTGACTAAAGTCTGACTTCCAGGGCCAGACTGAACAAAACACGCGGGAACCATTTGGGGCCAGACCTTCCTGTGTTTCACGCAGTCGTTAGACACGGCTCGACCGTGCGGCCGTGCGTTTCGTCCCGCAGGCTGCCCAGTCACTGCCCTTTGCTCTGAAGATCCACTGGTTGGTGCGGAGCATCGTGGAGGAGCGGCGTTGCCACGAGCCCGTGCGACGCCGCGCGACGCCGGTTCACCGAAGCCACCGGGGGGCAACCGGTGCGGCGATGTTCGGTTGGTCGCCCGATCCGGCGCACGGAGACCTACACCAGGGCCCCCGGCGCAAGGGGTGTCCAAGGGCCTGTTAAGAGGTTAAAGGGGGTATTCATTCACACATCTCGGATGGTATTCAAAAGACTCAAATGGCTTTGGCCTCCCCAAAATGCTGGTCTTTAAGCCTCCTGAAGGACCGGACGCCCGAGCTCTACGAAAATGCCATGGCGATGCTAAACCTGTGTGAGGCAGCCATGGCGCCTGGGCTGCTGGTCCTGGGCTGGGTGTTTGTCAATGGAATCCGAGAAAATCATGAGATGAACATGACAAGAACGCCAAACAAAGTCATGTTCATGTCACCTGAAGAACACGCTTTCAACGCACCCAGTCTTCACTCAGGGCATTTGCGGGTTCTCCGAGTTTTCATGGGCCACATACTCTTCGCAAAACGCCCGAGAATCCACTCTAAAATGAAGCGAAGGTGACACGAAACCCTACGAGCCTCCTGAAGGTTTTCCAGGAGTGTTGAGTGACCAGCATATCGCCAGAATCGATGAAACCTTTTTCTTCTTGAACTTCATGGGTTCCCAACGCACAGCGCCGTTTTGTTGCAGTGCAATGGCCCTTTGTGGCCACAGGGCTGTGACTGACCACCGTTTTTGTTGAGGTGAACTCGGGCAGTTCTCGCGCCAAGCACGAGGAGGCGGGAGTCCTCCCAGACAATCAGTCCATGGCTGGATGTGAACCTAAGCATGCCCCAAAGCAGGAGGATTCTGATGCGGATGGTAGAGGAATCTTGTACAAAACCGGGATTTGAACCAGGTGTTTACTAGATGCATTGACCAAGAAAGAAAACATTCACATTTAGACTCAGACACAAAGTTCTAACCTGCTGAAGTTTTGGCTCTTCTCGCGCTGCATTCCTAGACACATCTCCGTCAATCCCATGGCACCTGTCTCCAAAGTGGCTGTGGGTTCTGTCCTGGGCGCTGGAGCCTTGGCCACGGCTTTCGTGGCCCCTGGCAGCCGCCCCGTGGAGTTGGAGCCCAGGGTGGCCAGTGCGAGCCA